GCGCTCGAGAACGAAAGCAAAGGTTAGTCGTGCATAAGACGTCGGCGCTTGACGTGCCGGGACTGCAACTGCGCGTCGTCATCCTCGTCCTCCTCGTCCTCTTCTTGGTCGTGGCGAGCTGTGGCCGGACAGTCGTCGTCTTCTTCGTCGTCGGGCGCCTGTTCGTCGGCTCTTTCTTCGGGCGGGGTCACGACGCCCTCCTCGTCCTCGTCTGCATCGGCCTCGTCGTTGTCGTTGGCCCCAATGATGACTTGGACCTTGTCTTGGTTGATGCGGAAATCACGTGCTTGGCGACGAATGCACCAGCGCTTAAAGTTGGTCGTCTACGCCGTCGTTCGTGTGTGTTGCAGCTCAACAGCACTCGACCTACCTTGCAGCGCTTGGAGAGCTTGATGATGCCAACGTCGTACTGCTCCACTTGAAAGATGACGTCGGGAATGAGCTTGGCTTCCTGCGCGGGCATCTTCTTCTTCGGGTTGGCCACCGCCTTGCGCTTGTTCTCTTCATGGTGGCACGCAACAAAGTTGAGGACCTACCCTCTCCGTCAATACGATCCATCCAATACACACTATACGCAGTCCTACCAGTGGCGCGAGCTCACGGCTCGTTGCGTCCAGAAACATCTTGAGCGGCGGCGAGACTTGCGACACCTTGCTCTTGATCTTGGCCTGGATCGCGAGCGCGTGGAGCTTGAAGAGGCGAAGCAGCATACGAAAGAGTCGTAGTGTCGTTGGGCCGTGCGGAAACGAGACAGTGATGAGCGGCGCAATCACGCGACTGAGCTCCGTGAGCTGGTCCAAGACAGCGTCCAGTTGCACCTACCGACCTATCAATCCCACTCAACAGACAAGAGCACCAACCTCGGACATGGCTTTGACCGTCTTGAGCGTATGTTCGGTGGCGCCGCACGACTTGTCGAACGCATCGAGGAAGACGCCGGCCACGAGCCCAATCGTCTTTGTGTTCAAGCACGCATATGTGACGCGGTCGTCGTCGTCGTCGTTGCCGTCGGCGTCCCCGTTCTCGAGGTACGCGAGCATCGCCGTCGAAATACGCACGCGGTACGAGGGCTCGAGCAAGAGCGCCGTGAAGAGACGCGTCACGAGCGGCAGCGACGTGAGCGCTTGGCCAATGCAAATGGCTTCCATCCACTTCCATGCGTTCAAGCGCGTCGGAAGGCGCGGGTACCAGTGCGTAATGAGCAATTGCAGCACGAGGTCGGCTTCGGCTTCGTGCGACTGTCGCAAAAGAGCAAAGATCTTCTTCTGAATGTGCTCGACGGTCCCGAGCGTCGACTCGGCGAGGTCGGGTGCGATGCTGAGCAGTACGACGAGCGTCTCGTACGCCATGGCGGCCAGCGACTGCTTCCCGGTAGCCGAGAGGCCGCCGTCCGCCGCCGACCACAAGAGACGCGCCAACTGCGCGAGGAAATCCTTTTGTGTGCGCACCGACATGCGAAAGATGAGGAGTGGTTTCACCTCGAGCCAGCTCCGGCTCGAGAGAAGACGCCACTCGAGCAAGAGGTCGCGACTGTACTGCAAAACGCACTGCTGAACGTTGTAGTGGTGCGTCACGTCGCCTTGGCCAAAGATCGACTGCAGCGCCACGAGGAGGTTGCGCGGATGCACCAAACAGAATGGAGCGACAATCGGGCCGACATTCAAGCTCGTCGCGGACGGCTGGACCGTCTTGGCCTTGGCTTTGATCGCGTTGTCGTCCTTGTCGGCTTTGGCCTTGGGGCCGCGCTTCTTTTTTCCGCCGGCCGCCGCCGATGGCGCTTGGGACGGCGACACGATCTCTTCAACGCATTCACGGAGCTGCACGAGCTTGAGAGTGTGCTCGAGCTGGTCGGGCCGGAGGCGGGACGACCGCATCCCATCGTCTTTGCCCTAAACAAAACAATCAATGACCAAAGAAGAAAGATTGGCTATGGTATGTACCCAGACATAGTTGAGTACCACATCGCAGAGCTGGAGCAAGTCGGACGCGCGATCGATCGTGGCTTTACCAGCCGCCTTGACGCGCACGCTCGGGTCCATCGGTGCCGTATCGAGCTCATAGTCTTGCAGTTCCATGTGCAAGAGGCGTTCGAGGACCGAGTGGACTTTGTCCGGGCTGCACGTCAAGACGAGGTCCAGCAAAAGAGGCGTCGCTTCGTCGGGCTTGAGCTGCAGCGCCGGCGTTAGCGCCGCGTTCGTCTCAATCAAGGCCGAGAGCGTTGGCCACACGAGGTCATCGATGCTCGTGGCCAAGTCGGGGCTCAGCTTGACGAGGGTCTTGAGCTCGCGGTACAGCGTCGCGCGCACGCTCTTTTGACACGCCATTGCCCGACGAAACATACCGGCAAACTGACGAAAGACGCTCGGGAGATGGCCGGCATCAAACTCCATCGCGTCCATGTCCAAGATCGACTGCGACTGGGACACAAACGCCCGCTGCGTGAGCGACTGCGACGAGAGCGGGCGCGACGACGCGTTGTTGTTGGGGAGCACCATCTGCGTGAGGTACTTGGGCTTTCCCCCGGCACTGCCCGAGAGCGACAAGACACAGTCGAGGATTGTGCAAAACCCGTGGATTGCAATCGCACGCGACGACTCTTCGCGCCGAAACATGGCTTTGCGCAGCGTGAGCACCAATGCGTTGCGCAAGTGGACCTTGTGCTTGAGCAGTGGCGGCAGCGTCCGAAGAATCGCGCGCGCGACTTCCAAGCGAAAGCCGGGAAGGTACTCGAGGAGGTCGCGGATGCGGTCGAGAAACGCCGCGTCGAGGTCCATGACACAGTGTTGCAAGAGCGCGCTGAGGAGCTTGATATGCGGTAGCTTTGGCGGCAGCGACGGCATTGACGATGTCGACAAGCACCAGTGCAGAATGGCTTCGAGGACGCTCGCACGTACGCACTCGTGGTGTCGAAACGTGTACAAGATGACTTGGACGCCAACGTCGAGCACCGTTTGGTCTCTTGACTCGAAGAGCGAGAAGCCGAGCGCGACCGCGCTCGAGAGCAGGACTTCCATTTGCCCGCGTTCAAAAGCTTCGAGGACGTCGAGGAGCAAGGTCACGCCGTCTACCGCAACAGTCAAGAATAGGACAACGGGTGCGCATGTCGTACCCGACGAGGTGGTCGCAAGCCCGTTGAAGTACTCGAGACAGTTCTTGTCGATCGCCGCTGTAAACTTGACGTGGCTGCGCAGCAACAGCAGGAGTGCAAAATGCGTCGACGTCCACGACTGGGTGAGGCGGTGGGGCAGAAGCATCTCGAGGAGGACGGCGCCAAGCACGGTGTCTTGCGTAAGGAGCTTCTCGAGCTGGTACAAGATGGTCGCTTGAAACGCACGCAGCTCGCGTGGGCCAAAGACAATATGACCCGACGTCGGTGCGCGGTGGTGCTTGGGCTTGGTGGCGTCGACCGAGAGCTGGTCGAGGTGCGCGACGAGGCTCTGCAGCACCATCAACTTCAGGTCGCGCGGGTGGTCCCGCACAAACAAAAGCAAATGGTAGTACAAGCCCGGCAGTAGTGCGTAATCGGGCTGCATACCGTCCTCGACCGGTGTCATTTCAATCGACAGCTGCGATAGAAACTTGGCGCAGATCGCTGCATGTTGGTCGGCCGACCACGCGACCTCCCGAAGGACGTTGACCATCTAGATGGGGTTTCATTGAGACAGAATGGACCAAAGAAGCGGATGGACCTGGGAGAGGAGGCGCAATGGCCAGCGCGCTTGGAGGAGCCGGTCGAGGGACTTCTCGACGTAGACCGCGCCGGTCCACTCGGCCTCGTCGGAAAAGTCCCAGATCGATGGCGCGTGCGAGGGCAACGCTACGTGTGAGAAGCAGAGCATGCGCCCGTAGAGGTGCGGGAGGAGGTCGGCCGACGGCAGTGGCATCGGGATGACGCTTCCCGACTCTTCTTGGTCCCGGTACGCCTTCTCGATGCCATGGAGGACGTGCTCGACGAGGCTCGGGATGCTCGTCATGTCCAACGTGTCGATCTCGCGCTGAAGGAGGTCCACGAGCTGCGTGCAGAACGTGACGTGCTTCTTCGTCTGTGCCAAGTGGCTCTGCTGGAGCAGCTCGAGGAGCTCGAGACAGAGCGCGCGTCGGCGGACCTCGAACTTGCGCGGGCGCGACCCGAGCTCGCCCTTGGTAGACCCGCGGAAGAGGCCCTTGACGAAGTCGAGGAGGTCGAGGAACTCCATGGCCTGGTAGAGCTGCAGGACCGTCCCCGAGATCGTGGCGTCGTCGAGGTCCGTGACCGTCTCCCGGATCGCTTGGCTCTGGAGCATGTCCATCTCGTCCACGTACTCATCGCCATCGCCCCATACGTTGGCCTCGGCCTGCCGGTTGAGCTGCCGCTGCTGGAAGAGGACCTGCTGCGCCCGCGGGTCCATGGCGGCAAGTTGTTCGAGCACCTCGAGCGCGCGAACTTGGTGAGCCAACTCCGGCTTGCAACCGGGTTGCGTCAAAAGCTGTCGAAACGGCGCACACGAAATCATGCTATCGTAATATAGTGTTATTCATGTGCATTGCGGGACCCATGCGCAAAATTTGCTTGATTTGTGCAAGATGGTCGACGATCAATATGTAGAGAATGCGCTGAACGAGCTGATATGACAATATGTCCCAAGGAGCAAGTATTCTGTCGGTAGACAAGGAGTGAACCGAAAGGCCGTGTCACATCCGCAACACAACACGCAAATGGTGTACGATGTAAAAATAGCACAATTGATTGGTGGCCGCGCCATCGGATATCGTCAGTTGTGTCAGTCTGGAATTTGCGTCGAACTGGAAATGTGTAGAAAACTAGATGTAGGAAGCGTCGTGATCGTGTGATGTTGCAAAAACCAAGATCTGCTCTGAATTTCATTGAGGAGACACCCCTCTTTGAGGGAGTACTGCACTGATGATCATCGTCCATGTACTCGCAAGTAGTAGTTTCTGTTGCTAGATTAGATCGTAGTACGTAGGTAGACGAGCGCCCAACACCACCGTCAAATGATGTTGCTAAAACCAAGATCTGCTCTGAATTTCATTGAGGAGACACCCCTCTCTGAGGGAGTATTGCACTGATGACTCTGCCATTTAACCTCTCATGCCAATAAGACTTCATCCACATTTTTCGATTGCACCATCTTCTACACGCATCAAGTCGCCATTGAGAATTGAAGTTGTCACCAAGCATCCATAGCACTCACTTACCGTCCTTGACACCGCCCACGCCAATCTCGACCTGGCGGCAACATTGTCCTACATAGCTCGGTGTAATACAATATTTCATGAATAAGATAACAAAATGTCCAAATAAGTTTCGCAAGACACCATGGACGCTAGTGGGCCGGGAGGCGGTCGTGGGTCGTCATGTGAATACGCTTGTGCATGGTTTGCTGCACAGCGACTTCGTGGCGCGTCACGGTAGTTTCAAGCCCGTACAGGATCTGGAGGTTGCGAATGTCGCCGCTGCTGAGGCCGTCGCGCTGCCCGAGGACCGTGGACGCGACAGGATCGCAGTGGCGTTTCTCTGGAACGACACACCCGTCGTCTTCGTTTTGGTCGATGGTGCAAAACTTGACGCTCTTGTCGATTGGGAGACAGAGGCCGACGCCGTAGTGCATGATCGAGTGAATGTCATACTGCGTCACGAACGCCTCTTTGATGGGCATGTAGTTGCTGCGCGAGGCGCCAAGGAACTGGCCGCGGAGCACGATGGCCTCGGACGCTGGGTGCGCGTGCTCGTGGATGACGCCAAACGCGTGTAGCAGCTCGTGCATGACCGTGCCCATCCCGTGCTCGAGCGCCATTGGAAGCAAGTTGAGCTTTTGCCCCGCTTTGTGCCGGTACCCGAGCTCGGCGTACGTCCCGCGCTTGTTCTTTTCTTGGTCGATCGACACGTAGTGTGCGCAGCCACCGCAGATCGCGTCGCGATGCGGCGACGCCTTGCAGCGCGCGAGGTCCAATATGGCCACGCCGGTCGACGCCACGATCTCATCCATCGCGCGCTGAATCGTGCGGCGCTCGCGCTCGTCAAACGGCGCGTCGAGCTTGTAGCAGAGCGTGGCCATCGGCCAAAGCCGCCGCTTTCGGTCCGTGGCCAGCCCGAGACGCCGCTTTGCCTCGGCCTTGCGGCAGTCGACGGTCGCATCGACGTCACTATCGGCCGTCCCATCTTCTTCGTAGCACGTCAGAACGCCGTCGACGCAGACCTGGTAGATGGCGCCATCGTCCTGTGGCAAACCAAAGACGTACTTGAGCTGGCCGTCGCCGAGATGGTGGCGGCCGTCTGGGTTATGGACTGCGTCCAGCGGCAGTTCGCACGAGGCGCCTGCCGCGGCCAGCGAGGTCATCGCCGCGAGCAGCCCGACAAACTTCATGCTGCTACTGCTTGGTTGTAAATGACGATCTGCGCACCATGGGGCGGACAGGGCGGCGGCAGCCCGTTGGCCCAAAAATCTTGGTTCCTTGCCACGCGGCTGGCCAATCAGACGAGACGGCAGCGTCCTGGGATCACCACTTGGTGCAGATCGAAGCAGCGGAGAACGGCCCAACACAAATTCGTTAGGCGATTACATTTGAATTCACTATACCACGGCGCGCCTAGGTGTTCGGTGGTCATTCACGTACATTCGAGTACGTACAAGCATACAAATGTCCAGTAAAAGCGTACGTTCATTTGTACGAGGCTATACATGTATCCAGGTGCGCGCGTGGCACGCTGACCGTGAAGCATCCACGTCCCTCGCAGGACAAGAAGAGGATCCAACCGCGGTCGCGTGCGACGACGCAGCGTCACCCAAGGCAAACGTCCTTTCTTGGTACTACGTATTGCTCGATGAGCGCTTGACGACCGTGAACGACACTGCACAAAAATTTGGTTTGAAGTCGTGATGACGCGCCTCGCACGACCGCGAGCGAGCCAACGTAAACCCACCTGAGATACGAGATACTGGTCTCCACAGGGACGATGCAGACACTTTATTGCTCTTTGGCGTCGCTTTGTCATGGCGTGTCATCCTGAGTCCTGTGTGGTGTGTTTGGGCAAAGGGATAATAAGTCTATATTGGGTTGGGCAAAGAGTACAGAGAAGAAATCTATGGAATATGGGGATCGGGTCGTCGTGGGGTCGACCGATACTAGTGTACATCGGGTGCTACGTCGCCGACGTGGTAACCGCAAGCTGATCTTGCCAATGGCCAAGGTTGCGCTCGACCTGGTCCAAGCAGTGCTTGAGCGAGACTTTGGGCACCTTGGCCAGCGTCTCAAAGACCGGCCGGACAATGCCAATGATAAAGCCGGCTTGCATTTTGGCTTCGGGGATCGGGTTGACGCGGTCGCAGCCAAAGCTCAATGCGAGGCCGAGTTCGCGCTCCTTGTCGCCTTGGGCGTAAAACTCTTCCATGATGCGCGACGTCCAGACCGAGTAAATGTCCATGGGCTTGACCGGGTTGCACACGTCGGCTGCATGCAATGCCACCTACACCGTCGTCGCACCAGGTCTCCCGGCCATAGAAAAATCGATACCTGCAAGAGCAACTTTTGGTCGTCGAGGTTGCTAAAGTCGGTCTGGTCTTCGTCCGCACTAGTCAACATCAGATCGGAGATATCGAAAAGCGATACGACTACCTTTGCAAGAGACCCTCGAGGCGCCCGAGGTGGATCGCATGGTTCTTGTTGTCCGTCGCAAGGATCATGTCGATGATGAGGTTGCGGACCTATGCACAAAACACATTGCAGCTTTTCGCAACGCCAGTATCAAGTTGATACCTCGATCTTTTCCAGATCGTTGAGCGTCGCCAGCACGTCGCACTCCTTGCGCTGCATAAGCTCAAACGCGAGCGCGCAGTGCATGTTTTCGAGCGGCGACCGGTACGCATACCGGATCGCGAGCGGGTCGTTGGTCGCAATGTGAAAGTTGTTGGAGAGCCCTGTGTGCCCCTAGTCGAATGTGATCAACCTAGTTTTCGCAGGACCACTTGGTCTAGTACAATATCGTGGACCGACGCGGCGATGAGCGCCGCCAACTTGCCGCGCATCGAGATCTGCGTCCCGAGGCCGCCGAGAGTCAAAAAGTGATGCACGCACTGGGTCACGTCCGCCGCGTGCTCGGCTAGCGATATATATCAGTTCGTAGTGTCCATAGACCTATATATATAGAGATATGGAAAGGCTACCGTTGTGGTATGGGTTGGCCAAGTACTGGCCTTGGACGCTACGGCGCCAAAGATGAGGTTTCAACGATGGAAGAGCGTGCATACGCAAAGTAGAAGCTGCGGAGGACGGTCGCGGGAATGTGAAAGTGGCGCGTCAAGCCCTCGGCGTCAAAGCACGTGCAGCCAACGATGAGAAGCACGTCGGCGCCTTGGACTTTGCACAGCTAGTGCCATCGTTCGTGTGGCATCGGATACAGTAGGAGACGGACCTCGAGCACATTGAAGCTCCACGTCGAGATCTTGGAGAGCTCCTTCTTGATGACGCTGAACGACGACGTTTGGTCGGCGGCCCAGTACGCCTCGAGCGTGCCGATTGGGTACGACCGCTCGGGCGACCCGTCGAGCGAATGGCGCTTGTCGGCTCTGTGTACATTTTAGAGGCAAGACACACATGAGATGCGTATCGACGTACGAGGTAGCATCGGGCGTCGGCGGGCGCGAGCCACGAAAGGCCTTGACGCAGCGCTGAACGAGGCTCGTGCGGCGCAGTGCGGCGCGGAAGGTGTCCTTGGAATCTTCATTCTATCGCTCGCCTGACTCGGCTGTGCCACGAAAGAGGGTAGTACCTTGCTCGAGTAGTTTTGGTGGATAAAGCCTTGGACCTTGTCGTCAAAGACGTGCTTGTGCGACGAAAACTTGCGCTGGAGGTTGCGCTCGACCTAAAAACGTTGAGCCCACCGTGCAAATAGAGGAGACGAGCGGACCGCGCGCGTGTACACGGGCGTGTCGGGGTCCACGAGCTCGATGAAGACTGTCAGCAGCGTATCGATGTCGTCCAACGTCATCGTCGTCGTCGAGCTCGCGTTGTCCATGCACTCGGCATGGCTCTTTTTCAAGATCTTGACGGCTGCGACGAGCGAATTCGCGTCGGTCTCGTCCTCGTCGCTGCCGACTTTAGCGTCGACCTCGCTGGCCTTGGAGGCCGCGACCTTGGAGTCGCGCAAGACACGCGCGGCCTCCTTGAGCGCCTCGCGCTGCTTTGTCAATGGCATCGACGCCAACGGCCGCAAAGCCAAACTGCGCCCGTAGAAAGGCTGCAAATAGACGCTGGTGTTTTCGAGCCCCCGGGGGGAGGGCCCGTCACATCCCTGGCGCCGCGCAAATCGAATCGTATTTTTATACGACTACTTTTCCTCTACACTAGACAATACTATGGAGAACGTTTTCTTGCGCATTAAATATCACGGGAAGCCAACATGGGTACTTTAAAAATTTCGGGCACCCACACCGCCGTGAAACGGCCGCCCCGGGCGGTCGAAACGGTTGGCTTTGAAATTTACGGTCTTTTCACTGCGAATGGCTTATCTACTACTACCTACAACAGCAGCGTACCGCGTAGCACGAGATAGCGCGCGTGTCTTGAAGCGACTTGCACTGAGATTCTCGGCCAAACACAACCGCCGAGTAGCCGCCGTCGTCGTGCTTCAACGAGAAGACAACCCGGATCCCTCGCGACGCTTGAGGCGGCAACGGCGATGATGGCGCAGTGTACCTTCGCGACCAGCTGCGTGTCACTCATCTGCGCATCTGTCGCGTATCAACTTTAAAAAATCGAAGACCAAGCCGCGTCCACGATGCTTCTCGTCCACCGGCTCGTCCAGCGCGTCCAGGCGCCGCCGCAACGAGCGGTCCTCTACGGTACGCTTACATGGGCGCATTGCACCCAACGTTCGAACGGTGGCGTGAGCTACTGGAGCGTGGGACGAGCGTGCAATCGTCGTGGCACCCGCCCTCGAGTTGATAGAAAGGCGCGGTCAAGTAAGCTCGCGTAATGGACAACGTTCAAAGACGACAGGGTGCGCTCGAGTCACTCAATCACGTCGCACGTGCATACCGGTACGCTCCTGCGTACAGTGTACTGCGCCCATAGAACTCGGCGCTGGTGTCTCGAATGCTGCACGTCCTTGTCGAGGCTTGGGCCATCTATGTATCTTTGCTGCGCGCTCGTCGAACGACCTTCGCCATGACAGACGTGACGTCCGAGACAGTTGACAGCGTACAGGGTCCACGTTGATGTTGATAAATTAAAAAGGATTACGATGATGACGACGACGCGTAGACGGAGCTGGCCACCGCTGCCATCAGAATGTTTTTGATCACGGCCGGGTCTTCGCCGCGCGTGCTCGTCTCAAGGCGCGCGACGAGCTTGGCGACGACGTTGTCCATGTTGAGGGGTGAGCTCGAGTTCTTGCGCTCAATGATGCTCTCCCGGACGAGGTTGTCGCTGAGGAGGTCGTAGCGCGAACTCTCGCTCTCTTCGTCCCACTCGACTGTCTCGTCGAGCGTCGCAAGCTCGTCCTTGAGCTTGCCGCCGTCGACGCTCAGAAACGACAAGTCGGATTGCCGCTGGAGCTGCTGGTACACGACCATCTCTTCGGGCGAGAGGTCCGAGAGCGCCGACAGACGCTGCGTCACACTCGCGACAAGGTTGCTGAACTGCCACGAGTCGCTCTTCTCGACGGGCGACAGTGGCCCGGTCGACGACCGAATCGAGTGGAAAACCACGCCGTCGACATCCAAGCCAAACACGGTAGCGTTCTCGCGCTCGTCGTCGTCCGGGACGTCGGCGTCCAGCGCGTCATCGTCTTGGTGGTACTGCGCTGTATTGCGCAGCGTGATTGGCTTGGTCGTGGGCGCTTCGTGGACCTCCATGGACGCTTGCGTAATGTCCTGCTGGTGGTGGACGTCACAGGACAGTGACACGGACGGACGGAACGGGTTGGCGACGAGCGCGGACCGCATCGAGAGGAACCATTCCTTGGACTGGAATCGCTTGGGCGGGCGCGGCGTGAATATCGCCGAGTGCTCGCTCGATTGGGCACTTCCCCGGGCGCACCGCGTGCAAATCCGGAGGTTCTGCTTCCCGCTCGCGTCGGCCGTGAGCGCGCGCCAGACCGAGCTGCACTTGCGGCAGACAACTTGTCCGCACTTGCGGCAGTTGTGCTTATTGAGCGTCGCAAAGTGAAACGCGTGCTGGCACACAGCGCACTCGGAGCTCTCATTCTTGGCCACGAGCGTCTCGGCAAACCCGTGGGCCGTCAAATGCCGGCGCTGAAAGTAGCTCTCGAACCGACCGAGCGCGACGACGCGGCGCTTCATGATCTGCGACACGAGGTAGCTCGGGATGTTGCCCTTGAGGTCGGCTTGGAGCACATGGACGACTTCGAGGCGGGCTGGGTCGTCCGCGCACTCGACAAAGACAAAGCCGGACCGGTAAATGCTGCCGCGGATGAGCTGCAGCGACGACTCCATGTTGGGGCAGTTGGACGAGCTCACCGAGTGCATGCTGCTCACCCAGCCGCGCCGGCCCGTCTTGCGATCAACGAATTCGTCTTGGCACTAGATGTACGTTCGTCGATGAGCACGTTTGTTCGTCTTCCTTATCGACAAGATAAGACGTACCTCGAGGACGCAGAAGTCGCGCGGCCGGGCAAAGAGCGTCGGCGACTTGACCGCATGCCACTTCATGCCAATGTAGTGCATCGGGTTCTCGTCATTGGGCACAACAAGGTTGCAGAGGTTGGCGCAGTCGAGGTAGTCGGGCGCAAACACCTTGGCGTACTTGCGGTACTTGTCGGTCGAATCCGTCGAGAAGACGGCCGCGACTTCTTCGAGCGTCGCCTTGATGTACGAGACTGCGCAATAGTACGAGAGCGAGCTCGTGTCGCCGGGAATCTTGCCGCGAAACACTTGGACGCGGGCTTTTGCCGACGTGAGCGGTACCCACGAGACGGGCCCGCCGTGGCGCCGGGCGTAGTAGATCACTTTGGTGCACGACTTGCGTGCGACCGACTGAAAAAACTCTTTTTCCGCCACCGACATGTGCGGTTTGGGAAAGTGGTTGGGCGGCAGCGGGAAGCGGTCGCGGCTCCGGTCCTTCCGTACGAGGTGGTGCATGAGAGACAAAGATGCAGAGTGGGCAACTGCATCGAGTTTGCACTAGCGATGCAAATGACGTCAGGCCGAGACCGTGTGTCATGCTGGAAATGGATTGCTCGTGGGACGATTGGCTCGTGTGATCCAATCATACGAGTGGGAAAATAGAATACGCCGTTTGATTGGCGCACAGGATTTAGACGCTGTACGCAAAGCTGTGACTCACACCGAGCACTGGCTTCGAATTTCGACACGGTTTGGCCACTTGCAACGCGGGAACGTTCAGCTGCGGCCGTCGCGCCACCCGTGTTGATGGCACGTCCTCTTCGACTTTTCGGTTGCGTCGCGACTGGACCAAAGAGCTAGGACCACATATGCATGAGGAGCAGCGAGGGACCTTCTGAAACGACGCTGCGACACAAGGCGACAAGTAGGAGGCAACTGGTGCATGGATGGGCCACCGCGTCGCTTCTTTGGCGTGCCCACGACGCTTGTGAATAACGTACGTGGACGTCTTTGCGCGTGAATCGTTGATACGAAGTTCGAAGCGATGCGCAACTGACCCGCCGAACATCCACGTGCTTTGTGAGCAATTGTCGACTTTGGCGGCGGCTTCCGAGCACGCGTCTGAAGTAGCAACGTTCATCGACCGGAGAGAATACCAAGACAACATGCCGCATCTCCTGCATCAACGTCCAACGGCGTGTGACGGTCGCCGACGAGATTTCGCGAGGCCTTTGAACTTCAAGAGATTGGATTTGGCTTCTTCATGCGCGTGTACTCAAGTACTATCTTTAGGGAGGTGGCCGCCAAAGCTAGCCGCGGTGACGCGCCCGCATCGGCGCCACGTACAGCGAAGTAGCTTCCGACCTAACTGGCCTGAAGAAGGGGCAGAGGCATGGACAGTGACGCACCATGCACACCACGCGTGTTTGGATTAGTCTCGAACACAATAGATGTTGCTGGCTTGTACTAGTGTGCAGTGAGGAAGTATGCAATGTGATGGGAGCGTCATGGCCACGTCATGCATCTGCTGTATCGAGACAGGGCGCCACGTGGGCCCATAATCCGGTTCCATTGTCAAAACAGTGTTTGAAACAGTGTTTAGAGAGCGGCTGTCGAGCGCAAGAGGACGTGGCAGGCGGGATTTGTATGAGTTCTCGTATTCTTATTCCATAACTTATATGCGCTCATTGCATTGCGTGAGCGTCGAGACCAACGTCATCAAGAAGGCCCCAGACCTCCGACGTCTGGCGGACGCGTGCTGCGGAGATTTAGTGCAGACAGTTTGAACGCGAATCTGAATTGCAATTTTACCTTGCAGGGAAGGAGACTAAGATCTCATCCGTGCGACCCCACAACGACCTTCTTCTTCTTCGGTCAACGATAGCAAGTACTGTCGTCGTGCTGTTCAGCAGTTCAGTGCGCGACTGAATTGTGCCGTTCGTGTTGAACAAAAGAGCATATCTCTCACGAAAAGGAGATATATACACGGTCCGCCTCTCTCGATCCAGCGGGTGTGCAATGTATGTGCTCTCCACAGCTGCAGCTAGCATAGTATGATGCGGCACCCATCCATGTCAATTAACGTAGCAGCGCATTGGGCTGGTTCTTGACACAGACTGTACCTTTGTTCGAGCCCCGTTGCTCTTCACCTACGTTCTTCGTTCAAGATCCTGGTCACGAGCCATACCGAGCAAATCGACGACGCCTGCATCACTGTCGAAACGTAAGCGCATAATCGAAAGACATCGGGTCAGTGTGCCCGGGATGCCAAGGGCTGACTGGCACCAAACTTCGGATGGAGGCAGTCGTTGTCGTTGAAGTGAGTCTCTTTAGATATAATTTACACTGAACTGGTTTTGGGGGGTGGTCTTTCGACTCAGAGCGTGTTGTGCTAGACGGCAGCAGCGGCGAGGCTTAGCCGTGTTGAAGGCGAGGCGTATGGATGGCGCAAACCGGGGCGAGGTGGCCACGAAGCAAGGCGTCGTGGCGCAGGGCGTTCATAGTTTGGACGAGGCACATCGCTTGGGTATTCAGCAGCAAGTCGTGAAGATGCAGCTTGGTCAAGAACGCGGCGCTTTGGGCGTCACGACGGGCGCCTCGGGACGGAAGACGCCGTTGTTTCGGGCGAGCCAGACAGTGTGCAGCACACAGGCGCGTAGGATCGGTCAACCCATGTCGACCGCGCGTCGGTGGTAGCGTTGGACCGTCACCAGCGGCTCAAACAAGAGCACGTACAGCGTCGTGGGAAGTTCCAGCGCCTCGACGAGAGAGATGGAGGCAATCGTTGGTGCTAGTAAATGCCTATACGACGGCTTCAAACCACAAATTTCACTGTAGGAATAAATATACAAGGTCTTGAACACTTGAACCAACGACTGCGGTTTGGATCAAGCAGAAAAGAGCCTCCTCGCAGTTTTGAAAGAGCGACCATGACGTGGCGCCACGTCACGTCGCCATTAGGTTGCGTGTATCCAGACAAAATGAGTAAATCGAATCGAATAACACGCAATGTCAAAGATTCGCTTCAAGGAGCTTCGAACCATGCCCATGCCCTTGCGCCTCTGTTGAATCTTCAAGGATATCCGTAGAAGGAGAACAACGCGAGCGAGAAGACGGAACCGCACTCACAAACTTTGGCGCTGAGGAGCATGGCCCACGAATTCCGCATTCCGCTGCACATGACGGCCGCGGAGTATGAAATCGCAGAGCTTTTTGTCGTCGCCCGCGCCGCCGAGACGAGCACCCAGCGCGTGCACATTCTCCAGAACGAGCCATTTGACAATACAAATGGGCAGCTCGGCGATGTTTCGGCAATGTCCAACTGCGCGATTCCGCGCACGAAAGGCCAGTACACGCTCAAGCACTACTTTGTCTCGGACGAGCTCCCCTTCTTCCTCCGGCCACTGTATGCACCACCGACATAACTCTACAAGGTGCTCATGCATTGTACGCTAGGTTCCCGAAGGAAGGGTTTCTCTTGATTGAGGAAGCCTGGAATGCATTCCCGCGCTCGTATACGGCCATGACGAGCAACGTCTTTCGCAACGAAAAGTTCTTTATCTCGTGTCAGTCCGTGTACGCAGAGGGCCACATGGTCGCTGGTACATTCTCACCGGATTGTTTTCTCGCCCCAAGCGCTAGTAGACAATGTGTTCCACTTGCCACCGGCTGAGCTCACCGCACGCACCGTGGAAGAGTAGGCAACTACCCAGTGTTTGACAATGCAAAAGATACCAAGCGTAGACTCCACATCGAGGTCAGAGACACCGCGGTTGACGGCATGGATCCATCGACGTACATATGCGCCAAGATGGGCCGGGGACCACTCGCACGTGGCTGGACGACGTCGGCGACACCCATCATGACATGCTACAAGCTTCTTCGCGTCAAGTTCGACTATCTTGGCCTTGAGAAGAAAATGCAGCAGTTCATTGTCGACCGTCACCGCGGCATCTTCTTGACGTCGGCGCGTCAGGTACGCGACTCTCGTGATAAAGTCATTGACGGTGGGTGCAGGCGCAGTGCACGTCGCACGAATGGCACGGCCTTACCCTCGACGACATTCGGTCGCTCGAAGCCAAACAAGCCCTTGCGAGCTAAAGGACATCCTTTGCCGCCAACGAAAACCGCACTAGCACCGCCCACACTTCCATTACGTAGCCCTAACCCTCTTGATAAACCCAGCCCTAATCGATCCGCCTTGCACACTCTAGGTATGAATCTGACCGCACCCAACAAACACACGAGGTGGATACGACACAATGTATGGAACAAAAGTAACAAGAGCATGCTCCTACTTGATGCACTTGCCTTGGGGCGTGTAGCCCTTGCCGCCGACGATGCGATAGCACTTGGTCGACGGGTAAATCGACATGAAATCGACGACGCACGAGAACGAGAGCGCGACGAAGAAGCCGCCGACGAGGATCGCCCCCGCGACCTTGCTCTTCCCGCCGTTCTTCTTGAGCGCTTGCATTTCGACCTTTTGGCGCGGCAAAAACACAAGGAAGACGAGCGCAAAGAGCTTGGCCGCATACGCAATGAGGTACGTGTACGTGACCTCCCAGCGCACATGCGTGTCGTCGCGGCCAATGTCGTTTTGGGACACGTCAAAGTACGAGTCGATGATCTTGTAAATGACGCTCGCCACGGGGCTCGAGAGGTTGGAGACCGTCGTGACGAGGCCATACGTGGCGCCTTCGTTGCCCACATCGGCAATCTCAACCGCGCAGTAGGTGGCGACGATGAACCGGATACCGGACGGCACGTTCTCGGCAAGCGCGACACCGGTGAAGAACCACTGGTTGCGCACGACTTCCCAAATCGTAAGAAACATGACGAACGCATCGACCGTGATGATACCGAGCGTCCCGAGCGCGATGACCCAGCGCCAGCTCCACTGGAGGCCCCACTTGCCGACGGCCGACATGACGAGGATGTTGATAACCGTACCAAAGAGCCCCGAGAGCGAGTCGTTGAGCGGCTCGACATGCGCCCACGTGCGCGAGATCGGCGACTCGGGCGTGGCGCTGAAGTTGGCGAAGAGCGTGTTGAAGAACTTGAAGGCGCAGACTTGCCACATGACGCGCTGCTGGAGGAGGCTCCAAAAGCCCTTGGTCCATTGAGTAAACGGGACGCGGGGGGCCTTGACTTCGACGAGAAAGAAGATCGTGCTCGGGATCACGAGCACACACGGCACGAGGCAGATGCCGTACATGACGTTTGGCGTCGTCGACCAGGTGAACGACCCGGCGTACACCTTGCCGTTGAGCATAAAGGCCACAAAGAGCTGCGCGAGCATTTGGCCAATGTACCGCACAATGTAAATCGAGGTTTGCGTCCGCCCGCGAATCGCCACCGGTTCGCGCTGGGCGTACTGGACCACCATGGCGTCGGCGGCCACGTCGGCGAGGACGTACCCAAAGGC